TTTCATGAATGATCGTCTTAATATAAGACCCGTGCTTTATAATTCGTCCATGTTCTCTATTACTTGATATGTCCATTACTCTTCGCAGAAAATAATTTTTTTTTTCTGTATACGTTTGTTCTCTCTCTCGCACACCATCTTTTCTCTCTGTTCAGAAAAGTGGGAGAAGATTCATTCTTTCCATTCATGAGTCATTTTGAAGATTATTTATCGACAAGGCGAGCACCAATCGTCGTCAGATAGACATTTTATTCTTCATTTTTATGTTTACATTGTTCTTAATGGACTGATTAGTTATGAACGATGACAATGAGAATATGCTTTNTTTTTTCCGGGGGGGGGGGGGGGGGGGTTATGTAATAGCGATGCCAATCGATGATGAATTGTAGCCGCGCGATATTTAGCGAGAGTATAACGATGTGATGAGGGTGTATTAAGTTCAATATCAAGATGTTTTAATGCACGTGTCATACAATCGATAATTTCTTTTTCAATCTAAAAAATATTAAATTCAACAAAATACCGATTTTTTTCTTATTCGACTTACATCATCTTGTGACATTGTAATCAATGGCGCATAATCTTGAAGTGATGTAGCCATTGTAAAATATGTATTTGATAATTCCCATGATAAAGTACGATAAATATCGGACAAATCCGGACGATTTTCAATTAATTTTAAACCTCGATGAAAATAATCAAATGCTTTTTGATAACTTTGTCGTTTTTGTTGATAGAATTCCTGACGAACTCCATTGACTACAGGTGCATAAAATTGTGCGTAATAGCTCATTAAACGACCCAGCTTTGAATGTAATAAAGCTATATTTGATTTATCATTGATTTTTTCAAATGCTTGAATACCAGCATCAAAACTTTCGAAACTTTTTCGAAATTGATCTTTTACTTCCTTAATAAAATTATTCCTGTTAAAATGAGAAAAACAAAATTTTCCTTTTTACTTTTGCTGCTTCTTGATCGAAGTTTTTCGCTGCTTGAGCACATTTATTCATCCAATAGGCGCCCATTTCATTTCAAACATTTTCAAAGCGTTTTGTTAATAAATTGAAACGTTTTCTCTCATGATCACCAAGATTTCACACGACTTTTATTGCGTATTCATAAGCATGTACGCTAGCAAATAAATTCCGTTCAATCATCGGTGTTAATTCCGCAACCCATGAGAATTCTTAATAATAAAATACTAATGAAAATTAATCATCAAACAAACTCATCAATGATAAATACCCGAATTCTCTGCATTGATACCAACTTCATCAATAGCTTTTCGAATTTCAAGATCAACTTCACTCATCATATGATATTGTTCACGATATTTTTCAACTTCTTCACGTGATGTTATATGTACAATCATTAAACGACAATCACCAGCAATACTCATTATATAGGATAATAATTTTTTACATTCAGTACTACTATTATTATGATCCATAGATTGAAGTTTCAATTCTGCACTATAACAATTCAGTGCTAAGCGAAGATACCGTAAACAACAGCCATAGTTTTTCTCTTTTTCACTTCGATCAACAAGACAAACATAAGCCGCTGCTGCTTTATGTAATATAATTGCTTTCAAACGTTGATCATTTGTTAAATGATTTTTATTATCAATTAAGTTTTTGATGAATGTCGTGTAGCTTGATAAGGCAGCGGAGCAATCACTTTTGACTTTTGCTCACCGTCCGTTGATGAACTGTCTTGCTCAGTGGTTGCTTGAACTCGACGATGTATTGCATTACTTCGCAATGCGTATTAAAAATAACTACATGAAAAATCGAGTTTAAACATCCGATATTTTTACTTCAACTAAATATTTCAATGCTTCAATCGCACGTTCATCTAAATTCCCATGAATCGACGCTAGACGTTCTACATCTGGATGCTTTCGATAGCGTTGCTGTTGAGGTTGAGATAGAGCTTTAATATCAACCCAAGTATACGCATCCGAATCAATATCTTGTTCAAATGGTAACTAAAATCAAAATGAATTATGAAAAATTGAAAAAAAACAAATTCGATTTTACATCATCGTTTAATGATTCAGGATCTTGAATATCACTACCATCTGATGTCCGACTTTGTTCACTAACATTATCATCAATATAAAGATCCGACATCATCTATGCAGCAGCACAATGATATTCTGGAAATTTCTCGGGATTTAACATGTCTAAACAGTGTTTGAGTAATGTACGAATTGTACCGGATTCTTTAGAATGTGTTTCATGATCTGATTTTGATACCATATTACGAGCCATTTTATAGAATAAAGTAGCAACTGGAAGTGTATATGGATTATCATCACGAGTTGTATCGCATAAACTCGTTAAATCATATAGTTTAACAATATCGTCATCCGGACCTTTAAATAACCAATAAATATGTCCTTCTTTAGTGGCGTTTGCTTTAAGAAATGACAGAAGATTCGTAGCTAAATCGCGTATTACATCCGGTGGAAATTCCGCGCCTTCACGATACGGTAATTCTTCGGTTTTAACAATTTCATAGGATTGAACAATACCATCCACGTGATAACACATCGCTAATTCAGGAACGTTACACATGAGATTATCAAGCCAATAGTCAATGCCAGTTAAAACATTAATCGGCTTATTCATATCTCTAAAATTTTCAATATGAAATATTTATTAGATTCGTCATGTTGACAGTACCTTAAACGTAAGCTAGCAGCTGGATGTTATTCATCACCGAATATCGGTAAATCTGAACCAATTAACATTTTCATATTTTCAAATGTCCAGACGGCTGTTCACTGAAATGATGATGAATTCGTATTTGTATGATTCTGATCGTTTTCATTATTATTTGCATTAACCATTCTTTGTATTTGTTGAAGCAATTGAGATTCATCAGTTGGATTTGCAATTTGAGGTAATTCAACACTAAAATATTTCGGATACATAGGAAATGAATTAGATTGATCAATACCTTTGGCATAAAAATTTCACTAAACGATCTTTTCATATGAGTTCATCACGTGTTTTATTTTTCTTGTGAATGTTTCACTGAAATATTACGCAGAACTGTGTCAAGAAAAAAACTCATGAAACCATCTCCATTCGCTCTGGAATACATTGAAATTAATTTTATATTTGAGAAAATATCAATTCATTTGCCACCTTTTCAAGTCGTAATAGATGTGAATGTACGTCAAATTCATCGAAAAGTATCGTTCGACCCAAACGATGTACAATCATTGATATTTGACTGTTTTTATTAAACGATATTTTGAGTAATTTTTTAATATGCTATTGAAAGAAAAAAAGATTATTTTTCTAATGAAAAAATATATTTCCAACCTCAGCATCAGCAATAAGATCAACATCACCCAAACTATCTGTATTAGCATTAGCCCAGCGAAAGCTATAATAATAAAACATTTAAAAAAAAGAGAGAATTCAATTTTGCTGATCTATCTTCCAAAAATATCGTCATGATTTGCTCTTTGTTGAAGCCAATATGAAAGTAATATTGCAATGTCATTATTTCATACTGGTATTTCAACGAGATCTAGAGATTAAAATTTTCTCAATATATGTATAAATGCAAAACTATATCAAGATGATTACCTGTATCTTTATCCAAAAAAGTACATTTTAAAAAGGAAATTTTGCTGGTGCATTGACTGACACCAGACTTGACGAGGGTTCACTCATAATAATTTCAATGTATTAAAAAAAAATTTATTCAGTCATCTTTTTTTCTGGGACTATTCCAATTGCTTGAAACCAATGCGCCAATTAGGTTTCAGTATATGATTAATGGCGTCGCCATCTCTTCCTATCAAAACTACATACTATTCATAACGCATCTCTTCATTAAAATGATGGACGATCATCGTCACCGAAAAGAACGATTTGTTAGTAATTTAAATGGAACTACACTTTTCGAAACAGGTTCTGTTATGATCACCATATGTTCAACTTATTTCTTATGCCAAACATTAAAATCCTTCATTTCGT